GCCGCTTTAGCTCTAGTAAGCCTGAATTAAGAAACATGATCAGCTTTTTTTTCTTTTTCTTTCTATGTTTATTTTTAGAAGACACAACTTTAAAATCATCCTGATTATCTTCTTTAAAACACTTCTTGTGATCAGAAGTTGACAGACCAAGGTACGTTTCAAAATCAAAATGAATTTTACCTTTTTCTCAGATTGAATCAGATTGATCGCCATGATTCTCTAGATCAGATTGATTCAATTGGGAATATTATCTAGATTAGTTATGGGAGCAGCAAGGTTGTTGAATTTATCATTGTTGTCGATGCCATCTACTATGGATTGGACGGTAGGAACATTAATTAGGATTAACATGAACATCATTTTATGTATTATCCAACACATCACTACATTTATTGGCCATGGGAAGGACCTATAAATCACCTATGGGAGGACCATGGATATCCACCACAATGTTTATACCCTCAATGTTCAAGACAAATAATGGTATTATTCAGGTTTTGATCCACGGAAGGTACAGGGACAACCACATCCTATTCAACATTCATAACCCTATTAGCACCACATACTATACTAGAGTTCTCGGACTCACCCTTAACTACCTTTTGAACATACCCAAAATTTTTAGGGCTGAGCCAAACCTCAGAAGGGTATTTTTTGGTTATATCGATTTCAACAAGAATCCGAGCAACATAAGGTCTTGAACCTGAAGCCGTAGCATTATCCATTTGTAGTGGACGATCAAAGATGGAACCCGACCCAAACAAAATGCAATGAGAGAAAAGGTGAGGCCTAAGATCAAGAGAAGAAACCTAAATGGGAATAAAGGAGATTCCTTACCAATATAAAACTAGGGAGACCAATTGATTAACTTCATAAAATAATTATTGACATAAAAAAATTTGCGAGTTACAAATATCCTGCTGTAATCCATATCATTTGCTAACTTAATCAAAAAGTGTTTGGGATTCAAAATAGCATAATTTTTTCTTATTAAATTTAAATTAAAGAAAAACTTTTGAATCACGTCGAATGATGGATGAGAGAGCACTAGATATATCTTTATCTATAGAAGGGAACCTTACAAACTGGAGTAGGTGGTAGATTTTGAATCGACTAATAAATATTAGTGGTGTCAATATTTAAGACGACTCCAAAATCCGACCTGAATCTGATCCGAAAATTTCGGGTTAAGGTTGATCCGAACCCAAATCAGGTTGGGTTTGGGTTAGGGATTTTGACCTATTTGTAAAACCGGTTTGGGTTGACCCGGAATGATCAAGCTAACCACGCCTGCTCGCTTCTACATGCATTGCCTACCCGAGTTTGCCCGCATCGCATTGAGTCACGTCTGCCCTTGTTTGTCTGCTTTTGCTTTGCTTATGCCTTTGTCTGGCGTCCCGCTTCTCGCTTCGGCTGTATATGTCTGCGTCCAGTGTCCCGCTTCGCTTATGCCGCCGTGCCGCCTATGCTCACATATACTCGAGTTTCAGGTCGTGTTAGGTTGACCCGAACCTGAAGCGGGTCGGATTCAGGTCTGAAAAACTTAATTACCCGTTTTAAAAAACAGGTCAGGTTCGGGTTGACCCAAATAGTGTCGGGTCAGCTCTTGGTTGGACGTGAACTCAACCCGTTGCCCGATTTTGATAGCTCTAATAAATATAACATCTTCGATCATGCACTAGTATTTATAGTCTGCTGTATTCAACAATTATTCCTATATGGAGAAGAAAACATCGAGGCTATAGTATTGAACAAAGGAGGAAGTGGATTAGATTGCACTCAAAAAGTGATTTTTACAACATTATTATTACCATAAGGCAGATTCTTTACTCAACATCAAATGGATAACCCATATATGAAGCGGAAGGAGCCAATTTATTTAAGGCTGGCTAGATTGACCCCAAGAGAGCAATTGCGGTCAATAAAAAGCTACTCAAAAGAGTAATGAATAGCTGACTATCGACAACCCAATAACATAAAAAAAGTAAAAGATTTTAGCGAACCCATGCACAGTCCCACACTTGAAGAGGAAGGAGCCAATAAGGCTGGCTAGATTTTGACACCAAAGGATCAGCAAATGGGACAATGAAATGCTACTCAAAAGAAGATCATCTGGAGAGACTGTCGTAATTGATCCATCCAAAGGAATAAGGAACAGTTACTAAAGCGAGCAGTAAGTATGGTGGTCATACAATTTGATCATGTGTAGAGATTATCTTGTATCCAATTCAAGGCTTCTTTTAGGATAGCTCTCTTACTGCTTTTTAAAATAATTTTTTACTATAAAAATTTCTACATCAAAAAGTTTTTTTACTAAAAGTTGCTTTAGAAAATAATAAAAAAACTGTCTTAAACGAAACCTAAATCACAAAGAAAATGAATGTCTTCAACATATAAATATATATAAACATCTAAAACCCACGGAGGGGCCTACGTATTAATATAAATCAAAATTTCATAGTCGTTAAGGGGACATTCAGCTCACTAATGCTCAAAGAGCTACAACCAAAAAAAGAAAGAAAACCTAAGAGGCAATTGTCCCCTACTAACCAAAAAACAAAATTGCGTAGATACAATCTAAGGCGGCACAAAGACAGCGCCCAAAAAAGAAAGAACCTTAAATAAACATTCAACACAATTTTTCTGCCAAAAAACACCCTCCAGGCCAGAGAGAACTTGCAAAAAAAAAAAAAGCAAAACAATCCAAAAGGAAAAAACTACAAAGAGAAGATAAATACCTGTATGAGTAAAGATAAGCTCAGCATTGATCGGCCAAAGCAGGATAGCTAATAAACCAAAGTAGGTGTAAATTGCAATTCACCTAGAAAATTCACTACATGTAATAAACCAAAGTAGGTATTGATGAAGATCTGTTCTCGAAGTGATAGAGGCACCCAACAGTAAATAATTCAAAATATTAGCAGCTAGCCCATATATAAAAAATATGAACATTTAAACCCAAGGAAAACACACCAAGCAGAATAACATACAAATCCTGGGCCACCCAAAACATGGAAACCCAATTAGCAAGCACAAGCCAAAACAAAATAATCAGCAGGAAGATACAAGTAGACAAGCAGATAAAAAAGATGATCTAACATAAAATTTACTTATGTATATAGTGTCATTGCATCATTTGTATGATCTCAACTATTTTTGGTGAACTTTATATACAACTCATCATTCTAAAGTTGTTTCTAATGATGATAGGTGAAAGAAGGGCAATTTATTTAATGTATATATTTTTTGCCTTACTTTCTATTCATGTCATCTATCATATGTTTTTATTTTTCATCATCAGAATCCTTAGCCCTTAACTTTACCTATCAATCTAATAGGTTTAGATCTTCTTCAATTATCATGCTAACTGAACTACCTGTCGTTACTAATCTCAGCTAGAGAAGTCTACGAATAATATGTAATATATAATTGGCTTTTTTTTTTCAAAATTATCTAAATTGAAATCCGATCGCGATGCTTGCATATTTATCCTCTCAGAAAATCACTCCTATATTTTTTATAGATAGATCATGCAACAAAGAAAAAGATAAAAATAAAAATGTAAGAGAAAGAGGAGTGATTGATTGAGTTTTTAAGAAAACAATACTTAAACTTTTGTGATAGGAAATAGAAGAATTTTTTAGAAAGTTATAAATATAAAGAACAAGAGATCAAATCCAAGTTAGAAAATAGAAGCACACATAGATACACCTTTCATTATGTAAACTCAATGTAGAAGCACCATAATAGGAGAGAGTGTATATACATTTTTAGAGCATATCCATGCAACATATTATTGACCACAAAAGAAATCTTGAATATTAAATCTTCACCTTCCAAACCTACCACACTCATATTTATCACATATATTACCAAATATTTAAATTTTCAACAAGTTTGATCTTGAATGCCCTCCCTTAACCTTGATTTGTGACTTCAATAATGCTTCACAACTTGGAAAATTCTCTTTCTTGAGTGGATTAGTTAATTTATCAAGTGTTTTACCTCATGAATTTTAGCTTAAGTACTCTCCTATTCTTGCGATAGAATCTTTTGTATTGTGATAACATATGTTGGTGCACATGCTTTCATTATGTAAAATAAGATTCTAAGTCAATGCATGCATTGATTTATAATCAATACATTTTTCAATGGGCTTTTTTAATTGAAAAGTATAACTTCTAAGAAAATATTATTAGCCAAATAACACGTAAAACATTAAGTTCTAGCAACATCTTAATTTTTTTGGTTGAGAGTGGAATTATGTGTTTACCAGTTTGATATCCATCGATATTTTGACAGAATTAGAACCATCCACTGGCATTTCAACAGATTTGCATGTTTGAGATTGACATTTGGATGTTAGAGCTTGGTAACAATAGTTAGATCTCAAATTTGTATAGATTATTGCAACTTACTAATGCTTCATTTGAGAAATCTTTCTTTTTACTTTTAAAAGCAGCTTTTTACTACAAAATTTTTTGAATTAGAAATTTTTGTACTAGAAAACTGTTTTAGAAAGCAGCAACAAAGTTGTCCCAAATGAATCCTAAGCATGATTCAAAATTATGTTTTCTTCAGATTTTCTCCCTATCGAGTATTAAAAATGTGGTTCAAAATCAATTGGAAAGTTGTTTAAGGAAGGATTTGCATCTATGGATCATAAAAATACATCATGACCTACACTATCCTAAGCATGATATATTAAGAGATTATCTGATCATTGAACCATCATCAGACTAAATACAATAATTATTAATCCTTGAAAGCAATAAATTGTTATGACTATGTTGCTTGTAATATTGTAAATGATAATTTTATGCTTCTAATTTAAAGAAAAAAAAAGTCCTTTCATTGTCTCTGAAGAGATATCTTTAGACATCCTGAGATAAATAGAGCTTGCATCTTTGTAATCTTTCTTTTTTTTAATGGTGCATATAGATTATTTTAGTTTTGCTAATAGTTTGAAATGAATGCACCAACTTCTTTCATTTTTGCAGTGGGCACACTTCCCTCATATACAGTGTGGGTTAAACAAAAGCAAGTAAACTATGAGGAAGTTCTTGCTGCTGAAGGAGGCCAAAAATCTTATGGGTTGTACTGAGAAGCCAATGTAGTTATATTAAGAACCAACTTGTTCATGTATGAAACTTGATTGCGTATTTTACATATTTATCAATTGGTAAGTGTACTGAGACATACAATTTTTTATATATTTCTGCTTAATGAAAGGGATTGACATCTCATATCACAAGGTTTCTTTATATCATTGAATGAATATTCGTTGTTGATATATATATATATTTAAGGCTAAGATGCAAAAATTACAACATGAAAGGGAGAAAACAGTGCTATCCGGGAGCTCAACAGAAGCTTGAGGAAAAGAAGAATAGCAACAGCTTGATGAGCAACCGAAGATGTGCAAGAAAAAGAGCAATTCCAAGAAAAAACAAATGAGCATCTTTTGTAGAAAAAAAAAGCAGAAAGAGGACAGCCAGACAAAAAAATTACCCTGAAAACAAGAACAACCAAAGCACACCAAAGATAAAAAAAGCAAATAACAAATCAGACATGGGCGAGAAAAGCTAACACATTAATACCCAAGGACATGAGTTTTATTTTTGTTTTTTTTTTCTTACCAAATTTCACTGAAAAGCTCTTAGCATTTACTCGCACCACATTTAAATTGAAATCTTCTATCAAACAATTAGAAAGATCATCATGAATCCTTTTAGAACCCAAATCATCGGCCGTTTTAGAACAAATCCAGTCAGCATGACCAACAAGAACATCAAAAAGAAAATCCCAATGACTTAAAACAGTAGCCTCATTGTGAGAAATAGGTGAAGCAGGTATACTAATTAAGGGAATATTACCAATAACTACCAAACCATCATGAACAGGCAAAGTATTATTCACAGAAAAATGAGAGGAAGCAATTCCCAAAGGCCTCACATCCTCAACATTAGAATGCTCATTCACAATATCTTCATCAACCCGCAAAACCACACTCCATTTGATTCGTGCGTATTAACTACTTGAGCATCAAGATTAGAGGACACATGAAGAGTCAAAGCATTATCAACCGCAGCATTGATACAGCCCCAAGTAGTAAATAACTCAATAATCCCCAAACCAATAGAGGCCACAATAGCATTTTTATTACCATCACATTGCTTGCGAGATAACAAATTAGGAGAACAAGCATTTTCCTGGTCAACAATCTTAGGTTTATCAACCATAATCCTATCATTACCCTCACTACTCAAATTAACAAAAAACAACATTAGAACCTAACCCATCACAATCATGATCCATAGAGGAGCTCAACACCCTTGTTTGCAACTTTTTTGCATTATTTATAACATCAACATCATTGAACCCATTATTCAATAATTAAGTTGGTGTTAACCAGGTAAACAACATTGTGATTGATCACAGGATGATCATCTAAATGGGGAATAAGATAATGACATTCCACTCTTTAGTCGTAGAGGGATTCACAATGACCACAGAATGAAGGGAAAGCCTCCATTTCACTGTGTTGTATGTACCTAATTTTTTAGGACCAAGCTAGACCCGATCGAGGTATATTTTGAAGATATCAAGCTTGATAATGACAAGAGCACTGGAGGGTCTAGAACCTATGAAGAATTATCAGTTTTTAATGGGGGGCCAAACAAAGAGCCCAGTCCGTAAAGTATATGAGGAGAGAAGGGGTTCGGACGGAGGTTAGGGAAGGATACCTAAATCAAGTAATGGGGGATTCCACATCAATATCAAAATATGACGACCACTTGAAGAGTTTTATATAGCAATTACTCAAGAAATATGAATGATGAGAGAATACTCTTCTATAATCCAAATCATTTACTAATTTAATCAACACATGTTTAGGGTTGAGAACAGTAACAAAGAAATCATTAATGAGTTTTGGATTGAATCGAGGGATGGACTCTAAGTACAAAATTTTCCAACTAAAGCAAACTCAAAAGGTGCTGCAAGGGCAAGGATTTCCTACTTCAAAATCTACAACGATGGAAGACCACGATATGTAGAGGTTTTAAGATCAGGATAATCCACTAGAGAAGACTCCCCAGACAAGGCATCCAAAAAAGAGTGAGATTTTGGAACACCATTTAGGAAGCCTAGATTTTTCAAGTGATTAGGAAGCCAAAAAATGGTTATAGTGGAAAAAAAAGGATGATTGAACGTGAAAAAGTAAGAAAAAATGCAAAAAAAAAAGAGGAAAGGAATAAAGGACTTCCGTGAGAGCAGAATGAGCATTAGAAGAGCCACGACGACCGGCGCCACTGAGAAGCAAAGCAAGTGGAAAAACACTAGCATGAGCGCAAAGAGAAAACTTATGTCTCAATATTTTTATTAGGATTTCCTTACGAAGGATGGAACTATCCCTTGTTACATATTATTTCTTATATTAGTATTTTTTTAATTAAAGCATCATTTTTTTTTTTTGAAATTGAAGGATTCAAATCTAATTCAAAGAAAGATTCAAAGCAGCTTTGAACCTTTATTTGGAACAAGGTATGAATGCCTTGTAGGGCATTCACACAAGTTTGGTGGCGTGTTAGGAGAAGGAGAGTTCGTGAGGGGTTGAGGGCACGACTTTGATGGGATTTGGTGGCATGTGAAAGAGAAGATGTGTTCGTGCATGTTAAGAAGTGAGTGAGGCATCAATGGAATCAGATGGAATGTGAGAGATAAGTAGATGAATCGGTTGGATTTGGAGCAAGTAAGGGTCATAAATCATGATGGGATTCAAACGATGGCTTGCAAATGAGAAAGGAGTGGCATTGACAAGATTTGGTAAGATGTAAAGGAAATGGGAGTTTGTGTTGGATGGGAACTATTATCGATGGGATTCAGTTATGTGTAAGGAGAATCAGTGAATTTTATGAGATCCATCACGTGAATTAGTTTGTACTAAGTTTAGAACCAAGTGTAAATTAAGTTTGTACTAACGTAACTCCAATAATAAAAATTAACTCATATCATCGTGATTAGGGGTTGAACTAGCCTTAATTTTTAGGGGTGGGGAACCGTTAAGTACCTATCGGGGATCCAAGGGGGCAGTGGCCCTGGTCAGGTCACCGGGTTGCTTATCATAAATATTGTTTTCACTGAGTTCATAATATATTATTCTTAGATCTTTTGAAACCCATGGTTGATTCCTCTAAAATTAATGCTTGTCAAAGATAGTTGGGATTTGAATTTTCCTTGACTAATTGATCTGATAAGATTTGGGTTTTTGGAAAAGTGATATTAATGTATCTATTATTGGTAATTTTGATCAAATTATTCATTTCAATTTCTCCTTTTTCAATGTTTCTATTATTGGCTCTATTGTTTATGTTAGTTGCACTTAACATGGTAGGTTATCTCTTTGGCAACAGCTTGCTGACCTTAAAAATTCTTATAAGGGTCCTTAGTTTGTTGGAGGGGAATTAAATATTATTTCTAATTATTCTAAAATTGTAGGAGGTTCTCCCTCTAATAAAAATGCTATTGATGATTTCAATAATTAATATGATGTTGCATTGTGGTTTTTATGATATTGGCTTTTATGGTTTTACTTTTACTTGGTCTAATAATAGAGTTTGAGAAAGGTTAGATAGATTTTTATTTAATAATGATTAGATCTCTATTTTTTCCTTTATATGTTATTCAACACATTAGTAGGACTATTTCTGATCATTCTCCTTTTCTTCTGAACATTTTTCAAGTTAATGCTACTAGTTTCACTCCTTTTTATTTCAAAAATATATGGTTAAAAGCTCCTATTTTTTCTATAATGGTTAATGGGAATTGGATTGCTCCTCTTTCTCAAGGGAGACAATGATAAGCTCTATTTTGCCTTAAAGCTTAAGAGAATCAAACAAGCTTTAAGATGGTGGAATAAATTTAAATTTGGCAACATTTTTTATAACATTAAGAAGGATAAAAAAGAAGTTTATATGCATAAAATTAATTTTGTTGTTTCATCTAAGGATGTTGATTGGGATCAAGTCTACTCTACCAAGGCTTACCTACTCAATCTTTAACAAATAAAAGAAGAATTTTGGAAGCAAAAAGCATCTTCTAAACATATTTTGGAAGGTGAGAGGAACACTAAGTATTTCCATGCTATAAAAAATGATAAGAAAATAAATTTTTTTATTAAAAAGTTAGAATTGGAGTCTGGTGACTGGTGTGAGGATCAATCATTATTCTCTGATTCTATTTTTTTCCTTTTTTTTTGAAATCTTTTGGTTCTGGCAAGAAGGTTGAGCCTATTTCTATTCCTCATGTTATTCTTTTTTCTATTTCTTCTCAAGATAACTATATTATTACTAAGTTGCCTGATGAGCCTGATATTCTCAACTCTTTGATGAGTATGAATAAAGATTATGTGCTGGCCCAGATGGTTTCATGACTTCTTTCTTTAAAAAAATGTTGAAATATTATTAAGGAGGATATGTATAAATTTGTAACTACTTTTTTACGGTCTTTCTATACCTAAATGTTTCACTAGCACTTCTTTTATGTTGATCCCTAAAAACATTAACCCCGAAACTTGGAATGACTATAGACCTGTTAGCCTTTGCACTTCTTTTAATAATCTTTTATTCAAAATTTTGGCTACTTGTTTATCTAATTTTCTCCCTAAAATCATTTCTTTAAATCAAACAAACTTTGTTAAAGGTAGAAATATTATTGATAATGTTTTTCTTGCTAAAAAATTTCTTCATAAAATTCACAAAAAAAATTCCATGGTCATAATATAATACTCAAACTTGATATTTTTCATGACCTATAATAATATTAATTGGACTTTCTTGTTTAATATTATGAAACAATTTTGTTTTGATGAGAATTCCATTAATCTCTTTAAAAGCATTATTAAAAATTGTTAGTTCTCTATTATAATATTAATAGCTTAAGTTTTGAGCATAGAATAGAAGCTAGGAAAATAACATCTTGTCATAAATGGTATAATAAAAAGTAAAAAAAAAGGAATATAATTATATTCAATAAATTGAGAATGAATGAAGCAAATAATTCCTTTCCAAGTATAGAGGAAATATTGCAGATAAGTAGAGGTGAAGATGATATATATATATATATATATATATATATATTGGAAATTAAAAGGTTTGAGGATCCATAATTGTATTCATAAGCTCTCAATGGACCAACACATGCATACATCTTCTAAGGACATTATTTCTGTTGACATTGATCATTTAAAAAATTTGTTTAGTGC